TCCGAGAAAAGTTAATTGTGGTACAGCAAATATACACTTGTCGATGTTTAATTTCAGTCCGTAATGTTGTAAGCGTTTTAGAACTGCGTGTAAATGTTCCTGATGTTCAGCATGGATTTGCTTGTTATCAGTACATCGTCGATGTATGCGTACGTGTAAGGCATACCACGTAGCACCTCGTCGATCAACCTTTGGAATGATTGTGCCGCGTTACGCAACCCAAAGGGCATTCTCGTAAACTCGAATAGTCCGAAAGGGGTAGTAATGGCAGTCTTTTTGAATGTCATCTTCTTCGATTGGGATTTGGTAATAAGCTTTCTTAAGGTCGAGCTTGGTAAAGACTGTTGCACCTTCCAGCGATAATGCGAAATCCTTTATGTGTGGTATTGGATATTTGTCCGGAACAGTATGGGCATTCAATAGCCTATAATCACCGCACGGACGCCAACTGATTGAGTCTGCTTTCGTAACCATGTGTAGAGGGCTGGCATAAGGGCTTTTTGAAGGGCGAATTACGCCTAGTTTAAGCATATTATCGAATTCGTCTCGTGCAATTTTTAGTTTGGTAGGATGAAGCCTACGTGGTTGGGAATGAACTGGGGGACCAGTTGTCTTAATACTGTGTGTAGCATGGTGTTTAACGGGTTCGTTGCGTGATGACGGTGTTAGCAGTGGTTGGTACTGACGTATTATCTCGTCGTAGCCATTGGCTGTTGGTATAATATTCGTCAGACCGATTGTCGAGTATTTTGAAATGAAACCGCAGCGTTTGACATTCGTACTCGTGTCAGTTAGTGTTTGAGATGCGAGTTCCACTGATAATGCGTAGTGCGTCAGGAAGTCCGCTCCTAATATGGGCATCGAGACATCTGCGATTATAAATGTCCACGTGAGTTCTCTTCTTAGACCTATGTCTAATGTTAGGGTTCTTTCACCGTATGTAGCGATGGGTGTGCCATTTGCCGCTTGCAACTTCAGCGCTGTGTTTTTCGTTAGAAGTTGTCTACTGCAATTCTTCTGAGGTAAGACGCTGATTTGGGCACCGGTGTCAACCAAAAAATTCATCCCACTGGTTTTATCGTAAATATAAAAGAGACGGTTAGTCTTGAATTGTCTGGCATCCAACGTCTCTACTGAATGCCAGGATGTCCGTTTCCCTCTTGTTTGATGGTTGGTGATTTCTTGTATGAACAGGGTTGTCTACACTTGTTAGCGTGCGCGCCAAATTTTTCGTGGTACCAACATTTTTCGTTTTGGTAGCCATTTCGTTGTCGTTGGTATTTGTGCCGATAATTTGATCTCCAATTTTGTTTGTTACGCTTGGTATAACAATTGTCGCGTCGGCTTGCGTGAGAATTCTGTAGCTCACGTAGTTGTATGGATATTTCTTGCAGGTCTGTAGATAGTTTTTGTATTTGTCGATCGATGTCTGGCACAAGGCCATCCCCTGTGTTAGTTGCGGAAATATGTTTAATCGGTGCCGTGTCGGTTATTTTATCCGCAATTGTCGCAAGCTTCTGGACATCCATATCATCCGCCAATGCAGCTAAAATTCGTACTACATCTGGTGGTAGTTTGTCCAGCCACATTTGTCGGAATACCGTGGTTGATATATCATTATCGCCCAATAATTGTTGCATTCTTCGTAGTAATTGCGATGGTTTGGTATCTTCAGCCGTGACATTAGATAAAAGATCACGTATTCTTTTCTCCTCTGAAAAACCAGATCTATGCAATATCGCTTGCTTGAGAATTTCGTACGGTTTTTCTACTAGGAAGGAAGTTAATATATCTGCTACTTCAACTGCTACCTCTGCTGGTAGTTTTTCCACTACTGCCGCGAATTTTGATTATTGAGAATTTATGCGCCTGACTTGAAATATTGCATCAAGTTGAAGGAACCACGTTTGCACATTTGCGTTGAAGGCGGGCATCTCTAGCCTGATGGCTGTTTCTGATATGGGGACTGGATCAGCCATCTGTAGTGTTGAAATTCTTTATCTGATTCGTTTTTTTCTGTTTTTTTTTAAATGATGTCGTAGTCACCAAATTTTTGTTGGCGATGAGTTATTTTTTATGTGAACGTCGGGTATCACTATTTTAGTTCGCACGTCGGGTTCACTGTTTTAGTTGAGTGTGTTCAATTCACGTCGGGCGGTCACCATTTTTGTTGGGACTTTAGGGTCATTTAATTTATCAGAAGGATTTGTTATTCATGGTTGCGTGTTTGACCGCGTCCCAAACAAATATACAAACAATCGTGATATTTCAAACAAGGAAAAAACGAGACATATATTGATCAAAACAATACAACATTTATATACAATTAAACATTTACAAACTGGAATAATATTTGTATGAGTTGCGTGCGTAAATTGTATGTGTATGCTGAAATGGTTAATGTCTCTTGTATCGTAATGTTTGCTATTTTTTGTTTGTATCAAAAATTGTAATAATAGAATTAAGAGTTTTTATGCAAAGGAGTTTGTCAAAGTAGTCTACCCTTAATCGTATTTTTGTATTTGTATTCGCTTTCGTATTTCTTATTTTTGTAATGATTATAAATCAATATGCATAAGAAATTTAGTGAAAAGTTTCAAGAGTCGTTCGTCGAATGTTCGAAGTGAGTCAGTGAATGTTCGTTGAAAAGCGCGGCAAGATTATGGTTCGAAGCGTCGTGGAGTATTTAGGCAATTGCTCGTGAGTTAGCTAGACTGAGATATTCAGTCACCCACCCACGAGGGTGTCATGCGGCACAAGGCCTTTTTTAATGTGGGCATTCCCGAGCCATTAGGCTCAGCCAAAAAATAGCCCATTTGAACCCGTATAAACGGGTTCAGGGCCGGTTTAACCTCCCCGAAGGAGACTTCGCCCTTCGGCGTAGCCTCCTTCGGGTTCCTCTCCGTCCGGAGACAGAGAGTTGAACCGTGCAGTCGCTCAAAAAGTGAGCTGGACTGACTGACTGGGGTTGTCGGCTTTTCCTTTTATATTCTTTGTGTTTTCAAAAGTGGCTCAACTCGTTTTGGCGCAATTTCTGTTTCCGAAAACGATTGACCAATGGAATTGCTTGATTCGATTCTCGCCATTTCTATTGGCTGAGGTTTTTTTTGTACGTAGGCGTACGATGTGGACTGTGCCTTTTTTAGGTTAGAAAAGGTGAGGATATTGGAAGAGTCCACAATATAAGCTAGGTACCTCCAAAAATTTTGCTAAAAAGAGCATAGCATGAGAAAAACGGTCTGAATCTCTGACAAAAATTTTTAATCGTCAGAATGTTTATTTTATTATTCAGAAGAAAAACCAAATTATTTTATGGATCTTGAAAATTTAAATAAAATAATCTTCCTGGTTTATTACACACACACACACACACACACACACACACACACACACACACACACACACACAAGCATTCACGGCATGCATGCACGTACACATACACAGTAAAACACACGCACATACGGTAACCCAGCTGACACAAAATTTATAAAAGTATCATTGTTTGACAATTTGTTTTTATTTTCTCTCTAACTTCTCTGACATCATGGTTAAAGGAAATCCTGAAATAAATTAATTCCCATTTTTTAATTTTTATCAAGTGAATTTCTTTTCCGAAATTGACTGACTATCACTTCTGAAATTTTTATGAAGTGAATTTTTTATTTATTGATTTTTTTTAAGAAGATATTCTGAAATATACATTCGATGTGAAATTTTCATGTCCATGTTGGGGATGTGCAGAAATTATTAATTATACTTGCTTGAGAGAATCAGAAGGAATTTGTGTAGGTTGCTTGACTTTCTGCATCCACAAAAAAATAAATAAACGAATTTCAAATACGATTAAGAACAAGACATATTCAATTTTGAAACCTATAAAACATTTATATACAATTCAAAACAATATACAAGTAGGATATTTGGTATATGTCAACCTTTGACTGTATTATTTTTTATATCGTTCGCACGTTGATTTTCACTTAATAGGTAGTGAATATAATTCACTTTGGATAAGCAAGGTTTGCGATTTGATGTCCACAGAGCTGGTTGAGTTTAATTGCAAGTGAGTCAGCGTTGATGTACCTTTGCGCGGTAAAATCGTGATTTCGATTGACGTGGAGTATGTTGGCAATTTCTCTGTGGGTGTTCATTTCTGACTGCTTGGGTCAGTCGGCGTTTTCTTTTATAAGTTCTGAAAGTCCGAAATTGGCTCACGGAGTTTTGGCGCAATTTCGTTTTTGCACGTGAACTTTCAGATTATTGTGTCATTAACCAATGAAATTGGTTGATTTGCCTAGTACAGTTTTTATTGGTTGAAGTTTTCCGTACGTAGGCGTAAGATATAGACTGTTCTGTTACTAGGGGTGATAGGTAGGAAAAAACGAGTCTACACCCAAATGAGAATGACACAAAATCAAGTGGAAATCCGATGCGTACATTTAAACAGTTCTAGAAATTATTCCATTTTCTTGACAATTTTTTCTTTGAGGGATGCTTGCTACATGAGTGACTGAACATGACCCTTCCACTTTAGGTTCAGCGCAGTGATTCTGGGAGATTATTCCCACAGAACTGGATTTTGGTTAATATTAATTTCAGGTTTCATAAAGTAGGCAGGAAATGAGAGATTTGTAAATGAGTCCTTTGTGATTTTGTATATTATTGAGTTGACAAAAACAAAAGGAAATATTAACAAACGTAATAACATTTAGATGTCAACATGTGTGCGACATTGAAGTCTTTATTGTAGTTAGGAAATGCAATGATTATCCATAAAAAAATATTTTTAGAGAACATTGACCCCATCAAAAAAAAAATGTTTCTTTACACACAGTGTTATTATATTTGGCAAAAACCCGGATGTGATGGATTAAGTATGCATCCTGTTTAAAACTAAGTATCAGAAAAACAAAAGAGTTTTTATTGTTCACTCAGCAGATATTTAACATCATTTCAGATTTTAATTCTCTCATGTTCACAAGTCAGTTGAAAATAACACAATGAATTTATACTACCTAATTCTGGCCTTTTCGATTGTGGAAGCTTATTCCTGTGAGTATCTCATTCTTTTTCACACATTTTCTCTTTTACCGACATCTTTTTATATTTCGTATTTTATTCATTGCATTTGACCAGCCAGTTTCTCCCCCATCAAGTTGTTAGTTGTTGTTAGCGCTAAGGTCAAAGGTGAGATCAGTTGCCAGGTAGCTTTAGCCATCTAGAATTTTGAATGTATAGATATTTGAAAAACATCGACGTATAATCTTTTCTTTGTTTCTCCAAAGTTTTTCTGTTTCTTAATACTTTTCTAAACTTTTTGAATCTATCCCAATGAATCTTTTTAAGAAAAACTCATTTAATCCCAAGCAAGGCGATAAAGCCACTAAGCTATAAGGGTTTACTGAGAATGAAGGAAACTGAGAAAATGTTATGAGGAGAAAGGACAATTAAAGAACAGATTTCACATAGACAGAAGATGGCAATTTAAATTTATGAAGAGCATTGTTCACAGAAAAGTAAAAAGCAGGAAGATATTTCCACAAGTAAAAAGTGTAAAAGGAAAAACGGTTAAAAGTTGACAAAAAAGAAGAAAGTGAGTCGCTTTGAAAAAAACTGAATGACAGACTTGTGTGGCACCATTTACTAGGGCAAAAAGAAAAGAAAGTAAAAAGAGAAAGGAAAGAAAGGAAAAGAGAGGCGAGACCCAAGCGTGGATGATAAAAAAAACACCCACGACATGAGACAATTGACAATGTTATTTTGATAAGTAGCAAATGGCGAAAAGTGTCATTACCATGGCAGAAAAATTCTAAGTGGATAAGGGAATCGGCTATGTTCTGGCGACGAACTTGTGTTATCGGGGATAGATAACAACCGCTTATTGCGGGCAAAACATCTAATTAGCAAACCACAGACCGACTAGCCAAGAAAACTCCAATTGAAAATGTTTTTTTGATAATTGACAAAGAACAGGTGAAATACAGGGCTTTGGATAGATATGAAAAATTAACTGTGTCGTCTGCCAAGCCGCACACGAAGTAACGGCTGACCGTTCTTTTTTTGACAAGACATCTTTGGCTGCGATAACAGAACTATGTTATCAGAAATTTGCGCCAAAGTATGACTAGAACAATGGAGCTGTTTTTTCGAGAGGCGATGTTTTGCTGACCACCCATTCTGATAATTAACGAAAATCTGACTGACGAGGACCAGATGAAGAATAGAATTTATGACACTACTTGTCGCATTGTTCTGTTAGCGGCCAGAGAAGACGAGAGATGCGATTAAGGAAAGAAAAGGAAAAGAAAAAGATAATTTTTTTTTGAGCAAGATATATTTTTTTTCCTGGAACAAAGTCCGATGGACCGCACACGCCCGGCTGGACATCATTGGCCGAGTGGTGATCACGTGACACAAGGAGGGAAGCTGTCGCCGCCCACTTAGAGGATGGGTATGAGAGGTTGCTACGAAGAAGTGGGGAGGACCGTTGACGCCCCTCTGAAGTATGGTGAGAAGGTGGGAGTAAGAGAAGACTCCCAAAAATGGAAAGAAGTGGAAAATTCCTAACCAAAAACAAAAGAAGTGGATATGTATTTAGAATTATCGAGGAGCCTCCGACGCCGACAAACCCACCACGGTTTTGGTCGGCGTCCATATAAGCAAAGTCGCAGCGAGCGAAAATTAGAAAGTACAGCTCAGTAGAGTTTCCCGAAGAGTTCCGAGCGCTCAGTTGAAGCAGGCCTCGCAGCTGACTAAGATTCGCGCAGCTTCCGAACTCATCTTCAATCCAAGAACAATTATTTTGAAGAGCGACTTAGATCCAGACCACCAAAATAAGTTTTTTTCGACTTTCGCCTGAAGACACACCAAGAACCAATTTCTTGAAGAACAGACAACTTAAAGTGTTAAAACTCGCCTAACAAAAGAACAACGTGTCACAATCCATATAACGGGTCGGGAGATAGACGCAGTCCTATGTATCCAGCAACTAGACATAAAGTTTGTTATCCTTTTTTTGATACCTTGAACTTTTGAGTTATCATTTTCTTTTCTTTTATGCATATTTGTGCGGTGTCACCATCGTTGAACGCGATTTGCGTTACGGCCCCAACTACTGAGTGATTTCGTCTGCCTAAGATCAATTCACAACGTGGGTAGGAAGACTGGAGATCAACGCAGTTACTTTGGTAACCAGACGTTGGAAGTGAGTTGGGAACGACGAGGCTGATATCGACTCTAACCAGATTCCCATCCGAATCACCAAAAGGTTAGAACGTCACATTTGGGTGCCGCGACCGATACCAAGACAGTTGGTCGTCACAGGACGGGACAACACGACTGACGCAAACAGGCGGACGTCACGTTTGGAGCGGCGACACTCGAACGAAGCAGCGAGGAGCGAGCGAAGGCTGTGTTTAGGGACGTCACACTTGTTCATAATTTGAACTCAGTTATTCGAGTTGACTTTCTAGACTGATGTCCCTTATTCTGCCTGAACGTTATGTCCAATTAGGTGTCTATGTTAGTCACACTAACCGAATACGAATGAAAAATAACAAAAGAACTCTCGCAAATAGGAAAATTATAAGCACTCACTCCAAAACAATCAAAGATTTGGTCAGAAAAAATATAGAATTACCAATGCATCGGAAGCTGAAAAGTATAAGATAGGCTTCTTGAAAGGCGATAAGAAAAATATCAAGAACTGCACACATCGGGAGAATTCATTAAATTCTTTCTTCTTTTTTACCTTCAGTACATTAACGATCATTGTTCTCCACAATTTCCTGGCCTTTTAGCTCTTTTTCATTTTTGTCGTCTTGCAAAATGTTCTAGCATCCATATACGCAAGCTCGTTAGGTACGGTATGCACTGTTTGACTATGCACTGTTTATTTTAATATCTTGTCAGTGTCAAATTTTCCAAGCTCTCTTTCCTCATTATGGGCTCTATTAATTTCAACAGTCTCTTCCATTATGTTAAGTATAAGTGTCCTTTTCATTTCTATTTTCTCTAAAAAAATGTTACTTACATATTTGTTTCAACATCCCTTCCGTAGAATCACATTTCGGTTGCTTTAAGTCTCTTCTTCATCTGTGTGGATATTTTTCCTTACTTACTCCCATATAGGAGAACTGGTATTTATTCCTTCTCGTGCACCGCCCACTCTCCTTTCACCTCCACACCTGGCCAAAGAAAAGGAAAAAAGAAAATTTATTTCTCTGGCCGTGATTTGATTTGTAAGGTTGATTGGCGGGTGCTAGAGAAAGGTTTGTCTGCTCAAAAAAGAAAAAAAATATCCCGACTAGAGACTTTATTCAAGTTGACCCCCGTCGATGGCAAATTGGTGGAAGATCCCCGTAATTTTGCTCAGTCCCCTGGGATCATAACTTTCATTAGGGACATGGTGGCTTGAAAGTCTGGTGCCACCTTTACGAGTGCAGAGACGTATTCCCGAATAATGGAGATGGGTATACCCAATCTCAAAAAGCTTTCTAAATTCTGTGCAGGGAGGGGCCCCCACATTACTCCACCCCTCGGTATATACGGTAGTTAAACTAACCTACCCTATGGACGTCGATAGGGTTGTCCCAGATAGTCGGATGAGTTGGGTACAGGGAGCCTGGGACAATGCATTGGGGTCCTGACACCCACAGATTTCCGTACAGTCTGCGTGTAAGAGACTCAGGGTTAAATGATGACTATCAAGCTATCATGTGAGGGACCTGAGAGATCGGGGTAAGGCTGCCCTCCTGCTTCGTGATCTTAGGTCCTTTGGCGTAGATGTAGTCATGATCAAGGAGACACACTTTGTTTGCGAAGTCGATGCTTGTGTGCTGTCTACTGACTTTGATGTCTATTCAGCATACGCGGACCGGCATGCCAGAGGTGTTTCCTTGTTAGTCAAACGTGCGAGGGTAGAACTTGTCCATGTAGGCGTGGGCCATGTGGGCGTTGGGCTTGATCGTGGTCGATATTGCCATAAGCAGTGGTTCGTTTCGGGTGATTGCGGTTTATGCGCCCAACGATCAGGAAGAGCATGTCGACTTTTTCCGGCTGTTCCTGGTGGATTCGTTGCGCTTGGTCTTAATAGGGGACTGGATGCTGTCCTGGACCCCAAGATAGACAGGAAATGGGGAGTTAGCGGGAAGACATCGGGCGATCGTAGTTTGGTGAACCTGATCGGCGAGTTTGGGCTCGTCGATAGATATCGGGTCGATCATCCGGGGCACGAGATGTGGATGTGGGGACATAATTGGTCGTCTCTCCAGGTAGCCAGCGACCTGTATAGAATGTTAGTGAGAAGGGTAGACCTATATTTACTACATTGTTCCACGTTTCAACGTTTAGTCTATTCGTCTGTGTCCGGATGGCATTAGGTACTAGGCCTAGAATGGCTGGACACTGGAAGTTCAATCTGTCCTTACTGGACAGGCGGGACTTCCAGCAACAGCTAATTAAATTTGGCAGGAACTAGTGGGGGCGATTATTGGGAATAAGTGGTGGGAGTGGCTTAACGACAGGATTAGGTCCTTCACCGCTGAATATAGCCAACAACTCGCCCTAGATAAGGCTAAAAAGGTGAAGGCTCTAGAGGATAGTCTGTCCAAGGCGGTGGTTGAGGGAGATTCTCTAAAGATAGCCGTAGCTAGGCAGGCCCTGAAGCGTGAGGCTAGCAAGCGCTATCAGAATCAGATATTTAGACATAGGTTAAACAAGATGTCTAACGAAGCAGTGAACATGGGCGCAGAACTACACAAGGAAGAAATCCATCGAGGATCCGATCGTTCCATTTGTGAAGTCATTACCCCGGAGGAGCGTTCTCTGGGGTCGACAAAGGACATATGCGAGGCATTTCGGCGGCATTTCGATAGCCGTTGTGCCAAGGGGCCTGATCTCAGTGGCGATGAGTTTCGCAGCTATTTGGCTGACTTTACTCGGCTTTTGCCGACTGAAGCGGCTAGCTGTGAGGGTGAGATCACGGGTGGTGAAGTTCACTTGGCTTGATATACTTAAGGCTGTCGCATATCTTTGTCCCTATTTGACAGTGGTGTTCAACAGCTAGTTCCGGCAGGGTTCCATCCCCGACCGGATTTTCAAAGGTGTGATCAGGCTGTCGGAAAAGATCAAGGGTGTTGGGAGGAATTTAGACGATTACAGGCCCATAACTCTGCCACACAGAGTAAAAGATTTGGGCCAAGATCCTGACGGTGCGTTTAGATTCAGTTGTCGCGAACTTGTTGGGACCCGAGCAGAATTGTGCAGTTTCTTCAGAAATAAATATATGAACTTGGTCAGTCAGAATTAACTTCTATTACAGTTGAATACTGTCTGTTGCTATTACCAAATTATACAGAATTTGCATCGGGCATCTTCACTGTCAGCCAAAATTGACATGGAACTGGAATGTTCATTAACAATCTTTATGTCGAGACTAGCATCAGCAGTACAGAAAGATACCTGGCATTTGCTGGAGAAAGCAGAGATACATTTTTGTGATGAAGAAATTAAATAAAAGAATTTTTTTTATTGTTCAATAAGAACAATACAATATTGTGTGATATTAGCATTCCATCTCCCAGACCTTTCACCCTAAATTGTTGGCCCAAGTCTATCTTCAACCATGCATATATTCATTGGCGTACACTGGAATAAAGTTGATCAATTGCAGATAATTTGGGTCAAAAGTTACAAAAACTATGAAATAGATTTGGGCCCAGTATGTATTATATCAACGGTCCAGTGTTATTGATTTAATAGAAATAAACTGTTTCATGAAATTGTAGGTTCTTTTCCCAAATTGAGACTGTCTGCTTAGAGAAGTCAGTTTATGTGTGAATAAAGAAAGAGAAAAAGTAGATTCCTTTTGTTTTTGAAAAAGAGAAAATTCCTCACTTGAAAAAATTATTTTCATGAATCTCTTGCTAATTGTTGTTTCCTGTTTGTACAATTTACAGTTGTAGGTTTGAATCCTGGAGATGATTTTTCAACAGATGAAATGACACAAAACAAAAAAAAACTATATACTTTCTGACAAAGGTAAGTAAAATATTTCATAGTGTTTCTTCTTTTTTGGTATTGTTTTAAATTTCATCAGCAAATTGTTCTTAATTGAACAGTTTGCTGATTTGAAAATTGCCTGAAATTTAGTTGTTCTTCTGCAAAGAAGATTTAAAATCATTTTTGTATAAATGAGAATAGCTTTTGAATGACGACACACATACACACACAAAAAGAGACACACATTATCTCTCTTTCTTTTCACACACACATCTATATCTATTTACATGTATATTTGTATTTTGTTGCTGACAAGGAGCATTTTTTTTCTTCTGTTTTTATTACTTTTTTATGATTAAGTGCATGAAGAAATTGTTTATTGTAGTTATAGCTTCAACCATAAAACAACTATAAAACAGTTTATGCAGAGTGTGTAATATGTCAAAACTACTGAGACAAGATTTTGAGCTGCCATATCTTTTCAAAATGTAAGCCCTGTCTTAAGGGATTCAAATTAAATTATAAAAAAAGACAAGAAAAGAAAAGTGTTGTGGATTTCATTGCAATGTTTAACCTCCAATATGACAGTGAAATTGCAGAAAACCATGAAGTTGTTCTACTGATATAAATTGAGAATAACACGGACAGAACATACGACAAATGAGGAAGTTTTCAGTTATTCCTTTCTCATGCTGACAAAGTAAACATGGCAGCTGCTCTTGAAAAGGACTTCCAGTCAGTTGTAAACTGGGGTAAGAAATGGCTTGTAAATTTGAATACCTCCAAAACAAAACTGCTTTTATTTAACCAGCACAGAGAACCTTTTCTTTCTGCCAAGAAGGTGTGGTGTGTTGCTCTACCAGTAGAGCAACACATTATGCCTTCTTGGGCTCAGGTTTTCCATTGACATGAAGTGGAGTGACTATATTGATTAATAGCTGCATCCACTGCAAGGAAAGTTGGGTCACTGTGCCGTGACAGAACATTTTTCTCATCTGAATCCATTGTGCACATTTACAAATCTACCATTCACCTATGCATTGAATATTGCTGCTGCCATATCTGATTTGGTGTTCCTGTACATTCCAAGATTCTTGACAAAATCCAAAAAAGGATTTGTAATGTGACATGACTTTCCTTTCTTTTCTACAAATATTTTGATGGCAACTCTTCTGACAAGGGTTTTCCATTGTGCCCTGAATACATGAATTTAAGCATGCCAATAGCTTAGCATGTGCATCGCACATGTTTACTGCTGAAATAGCTAATTGCAACCACCACTTCTACTCCAACAGTTTCTTTTCTCATACTTCCCACCTGTGGAACTCCCTTCCGTTTACCTGCTTCCCTGATAAATACAATCTTCAAAAATTTAAATGCAATGTCAATCGCTATCGTGTATCTTCTTGAATCCCATTCATCTTTTGTCATTTCCTCAATCCTCCCTATTCTCGGTATTCTCTTTCACTTTCACCCCCTCTAACCCTCTGTGTACTAGTGGCTTTAATGTCTTGATTCGGATGAAATGATTAAACCAAAAAAAAAAATAAGTAAATAAATAAAAAATAAAATAAAGACCCAAAAATCTGCTGCTAACAATGAGAAAATGAGAAATGGAATTCTGGAGACACATAAAGTGGAAAGAAAGCTTGGAGAATTTAACACACACAGGGCACTTTAGAAACAAAAGAAACCAAGAAAAGCAAACAATTTGACAATTTTCAACAAATTTATAAATAAAGGAGAAAGTATGGCTGAGAGGACGCTGTGGAGAGCCCTGATTGATTACATTCTGAAGAGACTTACCATAAAGAGAGAAAGAGAATAGATAGTAATAATTGATTTAATATTATATTTATTATCTAGCCTCATATCCCAAGTACAGATACCACACCCAAAAAATTCATAGAAGATATTGGTTTCAGTTGTAGAAAAATAAGATCACTTTTGTCTCATCATAAAAATTAACTATTATTATTTTTTTAACTTCAGCTGAAAGTTTTATAAAAACAGCCAACGGACCAACTGGTATTAGATGTGAGCAGAATTCTTTTATTTATTCTAACCAATCCACTTACGGTGACTGTAATGGAAAAAACTCATGTTATTTGGAGATAACTGAAAAAAACACATTTTTTTATGTTTGTATTAAAGGTAAGAATTAAAAGTTTTGCAACTTTGTGATAAAAATTGTCAATTTCTTTTTGTTCTTTGGAGAACAGGTTTTTCTGTTTTCATATCTATCTATCTATCTATCTATCTATCTATCTATCTCAGTATTTCAACTGTCATCTCTCTCTCTCTCTCTCTCTCTATATATATATATATATATATATATATATATATATATAAAGAAATATAGTCTTAAGGAGTGCTATATTTATGGGATAAAGTGCTCAATATCAGAGATAGAGCGTGTGTAAATATAAAAGTGAACATAGAAGTCAACACTTATAGGCGACAGTCTGTTTCATGCTATATGCAATCGTCAGGCCACGCGTGCTGTTATTTTTCTCGGCTATTTATATATATACGGGTTAGTGGTGCATTGTGGGTATTCTATTATGGCGGTTATTTTTACCGGAAGTCGCTTTGTTTATTTATTTGGGTCAAGGTATATTGCTCGTTTTTATTTATTTTTTATTTTATTTTATTTTTTTTTTTTTTTTTTTTTTATTTTTTTATTTATTTATTTATTAACGTAGTAAAAATTTGTTTTATAATGTATTTAACAGTTTTGTTTTGGTTTGAGAATTTAATTAAAGTTATTTGTTCAATTTTGGGGTTGGTTGTTGTAGTTCATTCTAACTATTGTTTTTAAAGGGAACAGTTTTTTAATTTGGGATTGGTTTGTCTATTTATTTACTTGGATGAATTTAGGTCAATTTATTTGTATATTTTCTCTTTTTGGTTTTCGGTTTTTAAGCAACATAGTATTTATTCATTTATTTATTTATTTTTTTTATTATTATTATTATTATTATTATTATTATTATTATTGTATTTGTTTTTATTTTATTTTTTCCGTTTTTCATTTTTTAGGTTACGTAGTAAAAATTTATTTTCATGCCTGCATTTTGAGATGAGCTCGGATCTTTTATTTAATAATTTATTTTGGTCGGGAAAAGTATTGATAGCTATTTTTTCCTCCAAGCAAAGTTTGCAAGTTTTTGATTGGTTGTTGTAGGCTGATGATTTTTTCCTTATCTTCCAAGATATTTTTGGTGTGATTGCGTTTTGTTTTTTATTTCCCAGATATACTTAGAAAGCATAGTACTGTTCGCATATTTACTATTTGTGAACGATGTTTTGTGTGTATAATTTCTTTGCTTCCAGGGTCCTTCAGTTACTCCTATGTATACTTTTTCTTCATTATCTGGTGATTTTATCGTGGCTTAGTATATTACGTTGTTTTGTAGACAATTTCCGTTTAAGGGACATTCGTTCTTTATTCTGCAGTTGCACGTGGGTTTAATTTGTTCGTGTGGTTTGTTGATAATTTTCCTATTGTGCTTTTTTATTATTTGTGCCATGCTCTCGGTGCAGCTGTAGCTGATTTTTACTGTATTTTTGTTGAATATCTTGTGTAAGGTGCTTGATTCTGGGAAGTGTTTGTGTAAAAGTTTGAAGAATATTTTTCCTACGTTTGTTTTTACGTTCTTGCTGTACGGTGGGTTGAACCATATGATATTTCTTCTTCTGTTGGTCTTTTTTGTATTCTGTGGTGAGTATGTGAGTATTGCTGGGAATCCGCTATCTTTTTAGGGCCGTTTCATAGTCTTTTTTTAGCTTTGTTAAATAGGGATTCATTGGAGGAATTGTCGGAGAGCCTGCGGTTAATCGATTTTGGTATCTGTTTGATTATAGAAGGCGGATGGTTGGAGGATGTGTGTATGTAGAGTGGTTTATCGTTAGGTTTTCTGTATGGTTTATATGTGCCTTCTCTTAGGTTGAAGGTCACATCTAGGAAATCTACTTCGTTTAGGTTAGTTTTTATATACTTGTAACGAGGGGAAGGGGAAAAAAAAAGTCGTGTAAATAAATTGGAATCGGCTGTATGAATAATTTAAATTATTCATACAGCCGATTCCAATAATCATTTGAAGATTTTGGAGTCGGTCTGTATTGGATTAAGAAAACCTTCTCTCTGCCGGCAGAAGGAATTTATAAAGTCTCTAAATCTGTTGGGGGATATTTTATTTTAACTGTCCCTCGCTAATTTATTTACACGACTTTTTTTCCCCCCTTTCACTCGTATATTTACTTGTTTGTTATTTTAATGTGTTTCCCCCACTTTTTTGCTCTTCAATATCGTCTATATTCTTTTCGCTTATCCAACGATTGTCTCCTGATGAAATGTTGGCTGAAAGGGCCCTAGAGACTTTTAAAAATAAAAACATTGTATTCCTTGTTTTTAAAACTATTTATAAATTTTGTACCTCCAAACATTTGTATATATATATATATATATATATATATATATATATATATATACAGTCTGTTTCTATCTATCCATCTATCTCAACTGTCGGCTCTTTTCTCTCTCTCTCTCTCTCTCTCTCTCTCTCTCTCTCTCTCTCTCCCAGTCTGTTCTTATCTATCTATCTATCTATCTATCTATCTATCTATTTCAGTCTTTCAACTCTGCCTCTCTATCTTTCTATGTAAGAGATTTATCCTTACAAAATCTTGAACATTTTCATTCATTCTTCTATTCCCCCTTTCCAGATGATTGCCAACAATTGAATATCTCTCATGAAAAGACATTCATAGAGATTAGGATATGTTTTATTGACAGATAATTATTTACTTTTATGATAAAATCATTCTATACTGATTCCCATCCTGAAATGGTCAATTTCAAATGGAATAGAATTTGTAAGGACCTATTATTCATTTTTTTGTTAATGGCATGAAATTCAATCTTCATGTTTTTTGTTTTTTTTTTATTGATTTTTCAATTTTATTTTAAATTTATATTCTATTTCAGAACAGTTTCAAGAATCCAAATGTGATTTACTGGACAACAGTTTGAAAGTCCCTGAGAAAAGTGGCTGTTTTCGTTCCCAATTTCATTTTGTGGATATTAATTGGAATTCAGCGAAGTACATTCATATATTTCTGCTTAAATATCAATTTACAGATAATAATCATGTCAAAGAATATTCAGCTTTTTCAACCTTTTCTTGTCTCCAGTGTCATTTAAATTTCTGGCCATATACTTGGATTCTTTTAAGAGGTAAGAATTTAATTTAGCAAAGTTTTATCTGAACATTTTCCTCGGTTTAGCTAAACAAATGGGAAATCACAAACTTAAGATGAAAAGGAAAAAATCAAGATGAAAGAAATCATGACAATAATGTTAATGATGTCAAATTATAAAATTAACTTTAAAAGCTTTATCATGAAAATAACTGTTTGCATTTGGCAGTGAAAATTAATTGTTGTATACGGCAACATTTAGCTGCATAGATCAATGAATCGACACCCTGCCCTGGTCAATGAGCGATCTGAAAATAATGCCCCATATTGTGGTATGTGCCTCACACCAGACCATGCTAGAATAAACTTTGCACACAGTGCCCTTTAGAGATGCCAGGTGTATCAGGAAGTTGATCTGAAAGATGTCCTCTTAGTCACAAAGTGCAAATCCATTCCCTCACCCAATGTCAGTGACTGCCCACGACATGTAAAGATATAGTTAACCCAACTGTATCTAGGATGTACACCTGTGTGGAAAACTGCATGAAAGGTAGGTATATAAGTACCCACCTGAGAAGTAATTAATTATTTATTGTAATTTTCTTTATGTAATTTTTCTGTGCCATCCTATTTCCGAATGTTACTCTATATTTGTCTTTCTATATTTTAATTTTCTCTTAATAATTGCCTCAACATGTGATAATATATATATATATATATATATATATATATATATATGCTAACCAACTCTTATTTATCAATGCTGAAAAATTATATTTTACTACCCGAAATGTTTTAGTTGGTAGTAGACATCAGAACTTAGTCATTAATTAATATGAATTCTTTGCCATTTTTCTAATAGAATGAGGTACCGAATAGCCTCTAAAATCAATGGCGCTCATGCCTACTGACATCTCTGTCATAGGGTAATTAATAGGCTTCACACTTGGTCCTATGCTGTTTTAAAATTTCATTAACGACTTTCCCATTGACATCAGCTCTTAACTTGTCATCTGTGCTGTCGTCACTGCTATTTACGCCTGCCTCGATAGTAAGGCTGATGTGGCACCTTGCATTATTAGAAATATTCATAGAAATATGATTTAATTTTTTTTTACTCGGTTTATTAAACAGGTTGTTAGTTTTTTTTTTAGACTAAGAATAATTGAGTTGAAAATAATTCACTAAGTTGTACTTAGACGATCCTAAGGGAAGAAAAAAAGAGAGAAAGAAAAAAAAAAAGAAAGTAATGCGAAAGGAGGTCATTAGCGGAAAACAAACAGGTATCTAGGTCAACATGTTGGCCGAATTTCGAAAGACAATAGGGAATTGTTATTTAGAATGAAAAGTCATTTAGAGAGAGAAAGGGACCCGGCTTGATAACAGTGTATAAGCATATAGACGATTGATAAAAAAAAAAAATGTCGGTCGGAGCACATGACCGACTTTTGCGTAGAAAGACTCCTTATCAATTTGGAAAAAGGGGATTTTTTTTTAGAACAATGGAAACGAAATTTTAATCGGAGAAAAGTGTCTTTTGGGATGAAAAGTTGACCGCTCGGATTGTGTACAGATTCTGACCTGTTAAAAATCGGAACTCCCACTATGATGAAGCGAAAACATTTTCAATTCAGATAATTAAGATTTTTGACTATCAGGAAAAACAAAGAGGTGAAAAAAGACAATTGCTCTTGGCTCACAGAGGACGCCAACCAGACGTAAGGAATCCTTTCTGAAGTCAAGTCTAATTAGCGGCGGCTGTTTTGACAGAACCCAGGTGAGAAAAAGCCAAGATTATCATTTTTCGTGCGTGCGAAAAAGACCAAATTGGATTTTGTTTTTTTTGGCAAGCTAACCCTTCCCAGAGCGAGGACGATATAAGCCACGCCCGATAGGGAACGCCCAACCAGAATCTCATTAGCCGAAAACGGTCACGTGATCTGCGGGAAAGAGGAGAAAGAATGCTCGATCAAGAACCATTGGTCGAAAACGGTCACCTGACATACGAGAGACCGGGAGAGATGGGTATGCATCTTCCCACCAGAGGCACTGTGAGGAAGTAGGGGTGAAAATAATAGCGATAAGGGGAAATCAGAACTAATGCACCTTTTGGAATTATCGAAAAAACCCTGACACCGACAGACCCACCCCAGTTTGTTGCGGCGTCAATAAAAGCAGGACCCCAGTCGACAAAAATCAGTTGCAGCTGGACCGCGGGCAGCGAGGGAGCTTGAACGCGGGCATCGGCCCGGTTCATTCGCCCCTTTGCGGGCAAGAGAATCCTAAGACAAGAAATCCTTCCAGCCCAAGTCGAAGAAGAAGATTGCTCGCAAGCATCAGAGAAGTTGCAGCCAAGTCGAAGAAGAAGAAGATTGCTCAAAAGCCGCAGAGAAGTTGCAGCCAAGTCGAAGATAAGAAGAAGAACTGCAGGCCAGACAGGCCGAAGAATTGCAGGCCAGACAAGAAGAAGAATTGCAGGCCAGACAGGCAGTAAAGTTGCGGCTGAGTTGCGGGGTAGACGGCCAGAGCAGTTGGAACGCGGGCATCGGGTCCGGTCCATTCCTCCCTTGCGGCAAGAGAATCCTAAGACAAGAAATCCTTCCAGCCCAAGTCGAAGAAGAAGAAGAAGATTGCTCGAAAGTCGCAGAGAAGTTGCAGTCAAGTCGAAGATAATAAGAAGAGCTGCAGGCCAGACAAACAGTTCCCCGGACGGCAGCGAGAAGAAATCACCTCGGACGACAGAGAGTTGCAGTCGAGTTCCACCTCAGACGACAGAGAGCTCAGATCACCTCAGACGACAGAAAACCCAGATCACCTCAGACGACAGAGAGCTCAGATCACCTCAGACAGGCAGTAAGGTTGCAGACCAAACAAGCAAATCAGTTCAACCTCAGTCGACAGAAAAAAGTTGCAGGACGGAAGAAGAAGAAGTTGAAATCAAACCAAGCCCAAGAACAGAAATTCGACTAAACCAAATCGAAGTGAAGAAATACGTCCAACTCAAGCCGAAGAGAAGAATCAGCTGTGAACGACTGGTAGAGATTAGCCCCAGTGTCGAACTAGACCACACTCCGACATACACAATTCTGAAGAGTAGACAATTCGAAGTCTTTAAGTTGTATGATAGGAGCTTGGTGCCGCAGTCCACAAAGCGGGTCGGGAAGTAAGAACAATTTTTATGTAACGAACATTAGATATAAAAGGTTGTTACCCTTTTTTATCAATAATTTTTTGTCTCGTGAATTTTTTTTCTTTTACTTGTGTTTTGCCACCCCCGTCGGACTCAACTTGCATACGGCCCCAATCCCTGTTGGTCCTGTCTGTCTAAGATCTAATCACAACGTGGGTAGACAGACCGGAGATCAGTACAGTTACCCTAGTAACCAGGTGTTGGAAGCGGGTTGGGAAAGGCGAGGCTGGTAATCATCTAACCAAGGGGTTGGAACGGCAAGCTTGGAACAGCAAAGAGCGACCAGGAGAAGCGACGTCACAGTTGGCGCCGTAACCAAAGGTTTCGACCCTGGACCAAGTGTGCCCCGTCACACGTGGGTGTCCGTGACCAGGATATCAGAGCCTGGGGCAGCCACGCTGACGCGGCAGAAGCCCGTCACACTGATCTGCTGTAGACGTAACTTCTATGCTGACAGTTTCTTTTCTCCTTTGTGGGACCCCCATCTGGCTCTATGTTTTCCAACCAACTTTAATCTGAAAAATTTAAATGCAATGTCAATCACTATCTACTGTCCTCCTATCAGTTTCGACCCAGTGTAAGAAAGTATCTTTAAATTATACCTCCTCTTTCTCACATTCAGAAATCATAAACTTCAATCTTAACAAAGCGTCTATATGCGGAATTTGTTCTTTACATTATTTACATTATTCGAACAGTTATCGTCATCTTCATTTCCAGATTCACAACGTTTCAATCCCTGGACAGTGTTTACTTGGAACCAGGGGAAACAGAGTGGACAATATCTGAGCAGGACTAAAAACAACCAAAAAAAAAAAAAAGAAAAAAAAAGTGATAAAATATGTCTAGACATGGGCAATGACATGGGGTCCAGCTGCATAAATTAAAAAAAGGTTTCAATTCAAAATTTCCTGTAGGTGATCTGGATTTAATATACTCCTGATGTGTTGTGATAACAACAAAAATGAAAAAAAAAGCTTGTAAATTGCTGCCATCTGCGTTGTGTGCGAACATTATAGGATAGACATTACATTCAGAGAAAACCCTTGTGTGTGACAGTGTGCTTGTCACTCTCTCCCCCCTCTCTCTCTTTCTCTGTGTACACATGCACACATATATATCTAACATTGAAAGAGAGAGTGAGAGAGAATTATAGATTGACACACATTGTGTGTGTTGTAACAATTTTTTCTCCATTTCACACAGTTTCAAACAAAAGTGAAGAAGATTTCAGAGAGTTCTTCATGGAAGATAATCCCAAGACAACATTTGAGAAAAAAGATGAAGGTAAGGATTTTATTCCTTTTTATTCATAAATCATGGATAATTCATTAAATCTAAAAGTTAATTAGGATTATGCAAATTATCAAACATTCAGCTTAATTGGATTTTTCTTTTATTATTCTCACCAGGAAAAGGTAAAATGTCTTCTAATGTGTTTGTCGTCCAATGAGAATCAGGCAACAGAGCAAAGTGTAACAGAACAGCGACCCTGATTGAGTCATACTAGCGTATGGAAAGTAGTTAGTGACTGAGGTGTTGAGATACTTAACTCTAGAACACTAACCATGAGTATATAGTACCCAACACAAACTTTCCTATTTTTAATTACAATTTTCAGTACCTGACTTTCTTACCTAAATAATGTTTTTCCGTTCCTATTAATGTTAACTCAAAGTAAAAAGTTTGAAGTGCCTGCATGTAAAATATTTCAAATAAACATTTATATGTAATATTTTTTTTGACATTTTCAAAATCGGGTATGATACACCCATGGTTAGTAGTGGTGTAACTTTAATTGATGGTTAGTGTTCTAGGGTTAATAATTCTGAGCAAAGGAGAAGAGATCTTCGAAGGCAAAAACACAAGCAACTGTCACCAAAATGTAGCACCCAACCATTGATATAATATTTGAAACCTAGACAGATGAATTTTATTTGGTGACCAGCTCCAGTACAGCTTACAGCCAGTGGATGGATTGCAATGAAAACATAAAAAGCTAATCGATTTTAACTTCAACATGACAAACATGCAAAAAAATTATATATATATATATATATATATATATATATATATATATGTTAAAGTTATATGTTATATGTTAAAGTCTTAAAATTGTAGTCAGTTGAAAATTATTTCTTAAATTAAAAAGAGATTTCTCTTCTTTCATCAGGTATGAAGAGAAAAAAATAGCAGAAAACTTAGAAAAAATTACTTTGTGGGTTGAAGGTAATTCATTTGAAATTTGAAAAACTGTTCCAAACTTTGTGAATCTCTGTAAAGGCAGGAAAATCAACATTAGATCCAAGTTCATTTGTGAAGAATAAAAATATCAACAGGTCAGCTCATTAGGCAGGCATTTAGTGTCAGTGGAGGTGGTTGCTGGGTGATCAACATGTCTTGCTCCATGGCTAGGTGTCCAGAACAGACAGCCAGTTCGACTTTTTTATACACACACACACACACACACACACACACACACACACACACACACACACACACACACACATATATATATATATATATATATATATATATATATATATATATATATATAAATGTAGATATGCATGTATATATGCAAACTCTCTGAATCAATAAAATGTGTTGAATCTTTTACATACAGAGGAAACAAGATAAACTCTACTGAAAAGGATGTGAAAAATTGCATCGCTAAAGACTGGGTCACTTTGGATAAAATGGATGTAATCCGGAAACCTCATTTACCAGACAAACTCAAGTGGAAATTCTTTCAAGCCACTGTAGAGATGGTACCACTGCCTGGACATTAACAAAACCCCTAGAGCTATATGTAATATCACTCGGAGAAAACATTCAATTAAATCACAACTCTATAGACCCATCCCTGATCTTATGTAAATGTAAAATGCACTTTTCAGGAGACAGCTGGTGATTTAGAATTGTATACAATTAGTTCCTGAATTTTTATCATTTTTCTGTCATAACTGTTTTTTGCAGATATCATACAAACAATGACTTTTCACCCAACAAAAAGTACTTTACCAATCAATAAAAGTACTTTACCAATTAATAAAAGTAAGTGCAAAATATCTCAATTTCTTGGAACATATTTTTTAATTTGTTTTAAGTCTTGATAAATAAATTTCTACCAAAGATGAAGCAAAGAAAGTTTAAAATTATTTCAATCTGAGATTGGTGCCAAAGTTTTCCTTTGACCATTGTTCACTCTTATGTGCGTTTTATAAATATTGGAATAAAACCAATTAGGAAGAAAATGACTAAATCAGTTAAGGTTTAATAGGAAAGATTTCTTTCTCTTGAAATTCAAATGGTGGAAAAGTTGGTCCTATTCATGGCAGCAACATCAAAATATTGACTTTTAATTACAAATTGCAGTATCAGTTGTTTTGCTATTAATTGAATAAAAATAAACAGTATAATGTAATTATAGAGGTTTTCATTTCCAAATAAAATGTATAACTCAATTTTAGAGGTTTTCTTTCCTAAATAAACTGTACAAATAATTTGTAGAGGTTTCAATTGAAACTGTTCAATTAATGACCTGGATTCATGTGTAAATAAAGAAAGTGAAAAATTATATTTTTTTGTCTTTTCAAAAGATAAAATTCTTTTTGAATTTCCTATTTGAAAAGCATTGTTTTAATGAATATTTTCCTCATGATTGTTTCATGTTTTTAGCATTTACGGTTTCAAGTTTGGATCATGGAAACAATTCTTCATCAAAGGAAACACCAAAGAACTGTTTACCTGTTGATAAAGGTAAGTAAAATATTTTAGAATATTTCTGTTTTGATTGTTTTAAATTTCATCAGAGAATTAAGAAATATTTTTGATCTGAAAGTTGGTTGAAATTTGAATGCCTTTTCTCAAAGCTGATTTCAGATCCTGTTTTCAAAAATGAGAATATGTTGGCGTATGCAAGTATGTATGTGTATATAAAAACATCAATGCATTGACATATGACGTCAATGCATTAGCATATGATACCAATGAAATGACATATTATATAAATGCAATGACATATGACATCAATGCATTGACATATGACGTCAATGCATTGGCATATGTTCATCTATAAATCTAAGAACGTAGATTGAAAATGGGGCACAAATAATGAACAGAAAAATTTTAATTTTCTCTAGATAGATTGTAGACATTGACAGTATGGACATAAAACTCAACACTGCATGGTCATTGTCAGTATCACACCTAAAGACATATACAACTATATGTCATTACTCCGCGCATGGGCTCCTTATATAGGTCACTTGGCTGTTAGTGAAATATGATGAAGGAAGAAACCAGTTTACCCAGATTTTATGCTTCAGGCTATATTATAAGTTATTTATATAATTTGACATATATACATATATATATATATATATATATATATATATATATATATATATATATATATATATGTATGTATGTGTGTGTGTGTAAATGTGTGAATGTGTGTTTGTGTGTATACATATATACATATATATATACATATATTTGTGTGCATGTGTGTTTCATTAAACAATATAGCCATATTGTGTCTAATTATTTTTAGTTGATTTATACTTAGTCTTTTTTACTCCCAGTATATTTCGACTATTTCTAAGATCCTCTTCACGGATAAATTACATGGACAACCATATTGTAACTGTGATAAAATCTGCGTTCTGTTGTGATTGTCTTGCTTTGAGTGAAATGATTAAAAGGAAAGTACACACACACACACACACACACACACACACACACACACACACACACATATATATATATATATATATATATATATATATATATATATATGCAAGAGAGACTCACTTGTTTTTAAAAAAAATTAAATACTTTTTTTCTTCCTGTCATTTATTGTTCTTTTCTCACTTCTCCTCCCTAATGTTTTCTCATTCTCCATTCACTCTCTGTCACCTTCGGCATCCTAGTGGCATTATTGTCTGGCATGGAGTGAAACAACTAAAAAAATAACATATATATATATATATATATATATATGTATAGAGAGAGAGAGAGAGATAGATAGATAGATAGATAGATAGATAGATAGATAGATCTGTCTATATTTCTGAGATGAGGTATTATGTACAGTATTTACATTAGTCGGACATCCATCAAACATGGCACGTGGAACTAGAACAGTCTACCCCAGTGATCGAAATAAAGAGTTCAGTTCGAAATTCCAACCACCTGAAGAAGGCCGGAGCGTACAACGGCCGAAACGTTGTGACAAATATGGCGACAAAGATGAGGACAATAGTTCGACTAATGTAAATACTGTAGATAGATAGATGATTAAAATATAGTTAGAAAAACGAATGTTGCAGAATAAGAACAGGAAAGTGTAGATGTGCTTTTTTGTCAAATTTTGTTTTCCTCCAAGAAAATGTCTATTTCGTCTTTGTCCTTTTCTGCTCTGATATGAACGCCATTTTTAAAAAGAAGCCCAGTTACAATGTTGTTGTTGTTGTTATTGTTTTCTTTTCTTTTCAGTGATCATCATTTTGGTGGCTTTTTTGATTGTTTTGATGATGATTTTCGCAATGGTATCTTACAACTGTTACAGGTAAATCTGACAAGATTTAATTGTATTTGATTTATTGCACTAACATCCTGATCATTATTCTTGTGTCATTCAAAGCTTTTGCAGGGAATTAGCTTTAAGGGTTAATCAACTATGCAGCTAAACAACAATATGCTTTTCTGTATGTATATATGTGTGTATGTACGTGTGTTTGCAGAAATGGATAACTCATTTTTTGTTTTGATAAAGAAGATTTGAGATTCCACGTGAGATGACATTCTTTATTATTTGGAAGTGTAATGAACTGATATCTTCTAAAAGAATATATGGATAAATGGAGATTGCCACACCTTACTCAGTTAAGAGCCACATTCTCACCCCTCTCATTATTTGTGAGGCTTCCGTCTCATTTCTACATCCATGCTCTCCAAGATGAATCTTTAGACCAACATTGGATTCCATATGTATCATGCCTATATGAAGAATAACTCTGTATCCTTGATTGGGTTGATTGGATCTGCATGGCCTACAACTCTCGTGTGGAGGACATCGATGTGCCATCTAGATGATCATCTGCAAACATTGTTGCAAAACACACAGGTATTGTTGGCAGGACGACAATGAAGGTTTGCATAATGGGCGAAAAGAAGTTTTCTTTCGCCTTTATTTATGGGTTAATGTGCCCAATATCAAGGATAGAGCATATTTTATCTCAAGTTCCATTTGTGTTACTTTACACACACACACACACACACACACACACACACACACACACACATATATATATATATATATATATATTAAAGAAAAACAGACCACTTTAAGGTTCCATTATAATAATTTATTTCACAAGAGCCGTTTTAAAGTGCTCCGGATCATCAGATACATGTCTACCAATTCCCGGTCTGTTGTTATGGTAGAGTTTAGGAAGGGTTTAATTTAATATCTCTCTCAATCATACTTAGTATTGGGAGAGGAAGAGTGACCAGACCATGACCTATTTAAACGGTTAGCTTAACGGAAGTGATATATTGAAATGGGACGGGAGAAAAGAAAAAGGAAAGAAGAGGGAGAAGGAAGTAAAGAGAAAGAGACAGTAAATGGGTTTTACATATTTAGGAGATGGTTGTTAAGTTTTAGCAATTTATGTAAAAAATAGATTTCAATGTTTGATAGGAATTTAGATGTCAATATGTTATATTATTATTATGTCGATATATTATAACGAAGTAGTCATACAAAGAATAAATGAGTAAAGATAACGCAATTAATGGCAAATTCACTTCGCTAACATATTTAATAAAGCAGTAACTTACTAACCACTCATTGAATGACGCGATTTTTGTTTTAAAAATTGTAAAATAGATTAGATAAATATTAAATTGCATATAACATTTAATTGCATTTTACATGTCTACCAATTCCCGGTATGCTCCATCATATTGAAATGCTTGTTTGTCAAAAAAAAAAAAAAAATTTCCATAACGACAACGGAAAATTTTTAAAATTCTAAAATAACTATGACACGTTCAGATGTGTTTTTAAAGTCACTATCGAAACTGAATGCAGATTTTGTCACATGACAATAAGTTTGTCTTTGGAATTTACCTCTGAAGATGATCCAAGAAAAGATCAAAATTAGTTGGGTTAGAAAAAACTTCCATGATAAATTTCATCTTAACATCAAGAAAATCATTAGACAACAGGAAAGGATCAATATAAGAATACGTAGACATAATATGTCAATGCTATTCAATGAAAACTGTTTGAGGAAGATATGATATATATATATATATAAAATATATATATATATATATATATATCGCTAGAATAATTACCACTGCCGAGTGAGTTCGATCCTCACTGGGCGCTCCATACTTCCGGCTGCGCTTAGAAAATCACTGAGGTAGCTTTAATAAAAGTGAAACATTTTAGATTGATAAACATTTTCTATTTATTCTTTAATTTCGTTTCACCTCCATTTAGTTTTTTTAATGCACTTTTGAATGTATCGACGAAGCGTTTTGCTTGCCTATTCAATCTTGGATGATAGAAGGAGTTTTGATATGTTGTATCGCAAAGGTTTTACAAAAACTTTCAAACTCTTTAGTAACGAATTGCATGGCTTTGTCCGAAAAAAAAAACGTTATCCGGGATACCGTAACTAGTAAATAATTCATGCAAGAAGTTGAACTCTTGCATTTAGAAACTTTTGACCATGGAAAAGCCGTTGACAACGATTAGATTGTAGACACCATTTATCGGTCCCGTGAAATTGATGTGTAATCTCGACCACGGTGTGTCTGTTTTTAGCCAAGGGTGGTTTTTAACTGGTTCTTAATTTTCTGCTATGTCACAACCTCTGCTCGCTTTTATCAATCTCTCTGTGTCTTTGTCGTTATTAGGCCTGTAGGCATAGCTACGCATGATGGATTTAATTCTAGAGATATTTGCAACATCCTTTTCTGCGGAGATGTAGACATTACCACTCTTTCACCAGACATTAAAACCTCATCGTAGATGGAGAAAATATTGTCACCTTCAATTTTAGATTTAATTTATTTTTTATACTTCAATTTCCACCATACTTGCTTATTGTTTATCTAATAAAATTTCTTATTTTAATTTCATTCAGCGTCACTGATAGATCACGTACAGTATTGCAGAGAACGTTCATAATTTCACTGTCAGTTCTTAGCTCTTCAATTATCTTATCTTCTATTATTTCGCTAAACTTGAACTTTTCACATTCCCTGTTTACGATACTAGCATAAATGGTAAAAGCTTCATATTTTTTCTTACAATATTTACGTATTTGCCAACGTATACTAAACAATGACCTTTGGTCACTAAAAATTTTACGAATACTTTCTTCATAATAGAAATAATAGTTTCTTCAAACACCAATTTACTTGATTTTTTTTTCAGGCTGTAATTCACGTATTTTTTGTGTTCCGTGGGTCCTAACTTTCTTAGTAGAAGATGCACTTTTTTCTCGCCCAACCAGCATGTACAGTCTTTTTTTTTTAAAGATTTCCTCATAGCATTTGTAGTATGCTGCAAATGTAACATCTTCACCAGAGTTATATTTAAATCCACCAATTACATTTACTACTGAGTCCTGTAAGAAAAAAAGTAGACATGATTTTGTTACCTTTACTCTTCATAAAAAATTCTGGTATGTTTTGCTGTTGTTTTTGTTGCCTCAACAATGTTTCCCCGATTGGTTGTTGTTGGAGATTTTGTTCTTGATGTTATTTTATTAATTCCAAGAAAACTGCTTTTAATTCTTCCTTTTTTTTAATTCTTTGACGTTCAATGTGAATTTCAGATGTTTTAATGTTCCGTTGTGTCTAGCGTAAAATTTTATTCGACGTATTGATTTCACAAGTTTTACAAAAACGAAACTTTGTCCACCACTATTGACTAGTGAATCATCCTCGTCGCCAACCGTTGTTATGTGGGGCCTTACACGACATAACACTTAACTCGAAAGAGTCGTGATAGTTGTATTCGACGCTCAGCTAGACAAGTCACTGCAATAGTATTATTTTCTGTTTTCTAGACAATTACCCAGGACTACTTATCATGAATGAATCAGCCTATTCATGATCATAAGGGGGGGTAACTGGCTCACAACACAACAAAAATAAAAAACACGCTGTCTACTGAAACATGTGTATCTATAAAATAATATTTGAAGCAGTAGGATATATATATATATATATATATATATATATATATATATATATATATATGTACAATTTTCTTATGATGTTTTTGTTCTAATCTTTTGCACGTATGAAATTCCGTTGAATGAAAAGTATACAAACGACTTAAATACTTATGAAAACCTAAACTGAAGAGAAGAAAAGTATGGCAACAATTATAATGCAACTCAAGCAGTTTTGGAAAAATGTCCACATCTATTCAAATCAAATATGAAAATCATTTTGTTCAAACTTACAAATTGAGTTGTTTTCAGTCTGAACAATAAATAAATTGGTTTATTAATTTGTTTCATTTCCTTTTATGAAAAGTTGTGTAAGGAAAAAAAAAAGAATTGTTGTCAAATGAGAAGGCATTTTCTAATTTATCTACTGTTAAAATCATTTCTCCTCAAATTTTGCCTTCTTTCTGCTTTTGCATCTAAGTGTTTCAGTCTGTTTATATCATGTTAAAATTTCATTTTATTTTTCGCTCTGAGTGAATATCAGTTCTCAGTAGTTTGGGGGAAAGGATGAAGGTAATAAAATAATTACTGAAACCTGCAACTTTCCAACCTGCGTTCAAAGATCCTTCACCAAGGAATGGAGGGAGATCAACGGAAGGTGAAGGAAATTCAAAATTGTTTTAATAAACGCGATTTTTTTTTTTTTTACCAATGGCTACTCTTGCCGGTTGAAATCTGGAATCCTTTTGTTGACCGCCAAATTTTTTCGGTCAAGTGAACAAATGGTCAACTTATAAATGTTTAAGGAAAATTCTGACGGGAAAAATTGTCTATGACGACACAGTAAACAAACCTTCCTAGCGGCTGACTTAGTAATGGATTCAATAGAGTCTTTCCAATTCATGCGAGCCGAGAATGTTAGCCTTAGAAGGTGCAATAAGTCACTCTCTTCGATGTTAGCATCAGCCATACCGATAGAAGGCAAAAATGCTTCTCTCAGATGCTTAAAAAAGAACTTTTTTTAAGTCATTAAAACTGACAAGCCATTTCTTGCCCCAGTTAACAACAGATTAAAGATCATTGCTGAAATCAGCTCCCAATATTTCATCAAATCTATCAAACTTACCATTAAGACAGGACTAAATACTTACGTCATCAGTATTGATCAGAGATTCTCAACCGGGGTCCATATGGACCCTGTAGATACATTACTGGTGGTCGACACAAGAAAATGCAAATTATATTATAATATTTCATTTCGGAATGGTAGTTACAACTAGAAATTGGAATTGCTATAGTAATCTACGATATATTAGTATATTAAAATCGAAAAACAACTCTAAAACTGGAAGAAAATGCGATCAAGCGG